GGCCTAGGTGGGGGTGGTATCATGGTTGGGGGCATGATATCATGGTTGGGGGCATGATATCTCCCCAGGTATCATGGCTGGGGGCACGATGTCTCCACAGGTATCATGGCTGGGGGCATGATATCTCCCCTGATCTCATGGCGCCTCTTCTTACTTCAGTGCGTCCCCGCCCTCCCCCTTGGGCCGCGCACGCGCCGCCGGCCGCGATTTGCCCCCCCCCCTCTCTTGGACGCCCCCCTCTTGGGCGCCCCCGATCTCAACCAAGTCGGTGGACCCGCTTCCCCCATTCCCTTCTCGCGCGGGCGAGGAGTACCTCGCTGATCATTTAGTAAGGATGCGTTCACGATGCGGACGCTTTGGCTGCTTTGCTGTAGCTCAGTCGACTCCAATTTTTCGTCCATTTGTTGACATCATTCTCCCTCCTGCCTTTTGATGTTTGTTCCTCCTTTAACGTTTCCTCCTCCGCCTCCTGAACCTCTTATAGTGACCATCGTTATCACATGTTATCAAGATAATGGCTTTCACCGTGCCTCGGTTGTGGGCAAGGGGCCTCTTGGGTGCTCATTCTAATCTCTGGTATTCGGGATGTCTCTCGGGGACTTATTGGAGGCCCCTTCGGGGGCATTTGGGGGCCTGTTGGCGGCCTTCTGAAGACCACTGGCGGGGGCCTATTGAGGGGCTCTTGGGGCAGCTTTCGGGGCACATTGGGGTATAGTGGGGGCAATCTGCGGCGGACAGGCCCCCAATGTCAGTTCGAGCTCCCCCTCTTAGGCCTTCTTTGGGGACCTCCTGGGCAGTCTTGAGGCCCTCTGGGGCCGTCATCGGACCCTCTCGGGGGCCTCGTGGGCCGCATTCGGGCGTTATCGGGGACCTCTTGGGCCGATTCGGAGCCCTGCAGACATGGGAAGGCGAGACCGCTAAAACACGCCAACTATTTGAGGACAATCAATGATTGTCGCCTCTTGGGTCCTCTGGGAGTCCTCTTGGGGCGTCTCGGAGGCATCTTGGGCCGTCTCGGGGCGCTCTGGTGCCGTTTCGGGGCCTCTTGGACCGTCCTGTGGTCCTCCTGGCACCCTCTAAATCATCTTGGGACGTTCGGACCTCGGGAAAATCTCACGCGGCTCCGCTCAGAGCCTACGGCACGTCGGCAGATGTTCTCTCGGTTGTTCGTCCCTCCGTTTCTTGGGCGAAGACGTCAGAGCTGCTGCTCGCCAAAGAAGATCCACGCGCGCCGCTTTACTGTTTGTTTCGTTGCGTGCCAGATTGTTCGTGTGCGTTTCTGTGTGTGTGTGCGTGTGTGTGTGTGTGTGTGTCTGTCTGTCTGTCTGTCTGTCTGTCTGTCTGTCTGTCTGTCTGTCTGTCTGTCTGTCTGTCTGTCTGTCTGTCTGTCTGTCTGTCGGTCTGTCTGTCTGTCTGTGTGTGTGTGTGTGTTTGTGTGTGGCGGGTTTATTGTTTATGTGGTGGGTTTACTGTTCGTTTCTGGTGGCTGTTGGTTTCCTTTCGACGCGCGACTCCTCTCACAGGGGAGGGGCGCACGTCGAACGAAGAGGGGTCGAGGGACGAGGTCGCGGAAGGCGGCAGACGAGCGGGAGGCGGAGGCGCAGGAGGAGGGCAAGCTTGGTTCCTCGACCTGTGCAGAGGCCGGGGGGAGAGGGGGGGCGTCGCGTGCCCCTGTCCCCGATGCTCCACCTCCTCCTCCTCCTCCGAGGTCCTCCTCCTCCTCCTCCTCCTCCCGCTCCCACGCCGCGTCCCTAGTGCAGCAGTCTCCCCCCTTTGTCGCTCCACCCTGTCGTCGTCGTCGTCGTCGTCGTCGTCGTCGTCGTCTCGGTGGCGAGCGAGGGGGGGGGAAGGAGAAGGAGGGCGGCGGGGCTTCCCAGCAACCCCGCCGCTCTCTGAGAATTCTGTGTGTCTTCGGGGAAGGCCTGGAAAATGTTCAGAAGGCCGGAGGACTTCCGAGCCTTCTGAGAAGGCCCGCCCCCTCTCACTACGGGACGCGCCGCCGACTTTAGGCGGGCCTGGGATTGTCTCAGGGTTTCTCGGGGCATCTCGGAGGCATGGCGGGCCACGATCTGGGATTGTCAGGTCGTTTCCGGTTGGTCTTGAAACATCGGAGCAGTATAAGAGAGATGTTGGTTCGTGTGGGAACGCGTGGGGGTTGTAGTTCAACGTTGGGGAATCATGGACGCGCGGGCTCTGAACGGGGTGACTTAAGAGAGCTACGTACAGAAACTCGGACCGGGCGATTTACCAGTCTCCTATTGCTCCACATCGTGCAAACGCGACGAGCGGATGGGAGGGACAGGAATTTGAAGAGGATTGGACAGGACGGAGGAGAAAGGGGAGAGAGGAGTATCGGCAAGAGAGACGCGGAGGAGAGGGGAGGAAAATATTGAGTGAACCAGGCAAGATGATGTACCAACGTCGTCGCCAACCTGTTGCGCACAACTGATGTCTTGTATGTTCACGTGACCATCTACGTCATAAGTCAGCGTGTTGCTCATTTACATGTGATATAGGAGGAAACGGATGATGACATGCGTTTCTTTCCAAACCCACTTATCCCCCCACTCCTCGCCCTCATCGCTCCCCCCCATATGTTATCTCCCTCTCCTCCTTTCCCTCCCCCTCCTCATCCCTGCCCCTTGGCCCCAACGTTTCCCTTTGCTCCTCCCTTGTTGTACCTCCAACTGTGACCGAGGTGAAGAAACTGCATAACAGTGTGAGCATGCAGGCCATGACCTGGTTTCCACCTGGTGCACGGGACCTGGTGACGCAGCTTTTAGAAACCAGGCTTGCCCGAGTCTTCTTCAGTGGACAATGACGAGTAGAAGGAATGATGAGGATGATGATGATGATGATGATGATGATGATGATGATGATGATGATGATGAGGAGGAGGAGGAGGAGGAGGAGGAGGAGGAGGACCAGTGTAAACCGACCCAAGGTGCATCAACGATCATGCAATGCAGCGTACCTCCAAGTTCCTTCTTCATGTGTCTCTGCAAGAGTTTATGCCCACTGCTGGAAGTGCCCCGTTGGAAGACAACCGTCTGAAAACCCTAAATCGTGCCAGGACATCACTTCTTGGATTTCAACGCCGCGAATCAATGTTGCTGTTGCGTCCTAATGGTCCTGCGTCGTGCCAGAACACCAATCCTGGGACCATCGAGTACGTTCGCGGCCAATCACAGCCGCCCCATGCTTGTCGGATACGCCTATGTGGTCGAACGTTGCGGCCAGCGCTCGGCCAAGCTATTGGATCAGGTGTTCCCCCCGCCGTTGCGAAACCCATTCGGGCGACACGTGGGGGAGAACGGAGAACAAGAGAGGGAGGACAGAGAATTCGGAGAAGGAGGAGGACGAGGAGGAGGACGCCTCTTGGGAGTCGCTTGGGGCACTTTTGGAGCCTTTTGGGAGCTTTGTGGGAGCTTTCTGGGTGCCTCTGGGAGGCTTCTTGGGAGCTTTCTTGGGCCTCTTGGGGGCAGTTGAGGGCTCTTTGGGAGGCTCATTGGCCGTCTGGGCGTTTCTGGCTCGTCGGAACCTGTCCTGGGTGGCTCTGGGCCAAGTTGGGGGCCTCTTGGGGCGCTTCAGTGCCAGGCCATATTGGGCGTCTTGAGAAGTGTCCTGGGCCGTCTTGAGGCCCTGTTAAGGCATCTTGAGGGCCCCTTGGTCTGTCAGGGGACCATCTCGGTGGCCTCTGGTGTCATCTTGGGCCGTTGGAAAAGCCAAGCATGACCACCGCAGAGATCTTTCAAACGCATAAGGAGCATCAATGACTGTTCCCTTTTCGGGCCTTCCTGAAGGGCCTCTTGGATGCATGTTGGGGGCCTCGTGAGCTGTCCTGGGCCACCTTGAGGCCATCTAAGGCCGTCATGGCTGCATCTTGGGCCGTCTTGACTGCATCGTGCGGCCATCCTGGGCTCTATTGGAGCCATCCTGGACGTCTTGTGGGCCAAGTTTAGCGACTTGGGGGCTTCTTGGTGCAGTCTTGGAGGCCCTCTTGGGCCGTCATGGGGCCTTCTTGGAGGCGTCTTAGGTGATCTTGGGGCGATTTTGCAGACCTCTTGGGCCGTCCTGGGCCGTCGGAAGGCCAACAAAGGAGCGAACCCCAACATCCTTCAAACATATGAGGCACATCATTGATTAGGACATCGTCAGGTCTTCCTGAGTGCCTCTTGTAGGCCTCCTGGGGCCTCTTGGTGGCCTTGGGCCATGTGGCGACCACCTTAGCCCGTCTTGGCTGCATCTTGGGCCGTCTTGGGGACACTGTGCGGCCATCTTGGGCTACGTATTGGCCGTCTTGGGAGCCATCTGGGGCCGTCGTGGGGGCTCCTTTGGCCATCATGGGGCCATCTTGGAGGCTCGTCGGGCCGTCTTGGGCCGTCGGAGCGCCAAACTGGCGCAACAGCCAAACATCTCCAACCACCAGAGGCAAACACATGTTTTTGAAGTCTTCGGGCCTTCCAGTCGGTCCTCTTGGAGACCTCTTGGGCTGTCTTGGAAGCCTCTTGGGAGATTCTTAGGCCGTCTTGGGCCATCTTGAGGCTATCTTAAGCCGTCGTGAGTGTATGTTGGGCCGTCTTGGCCACGTTTGTTAGGCCATCTTGGGCTCTCGTTGGGCCATCTTGGCCGTCTGGGAGGCCATATTGGCTGTCTTGGAGGCTATCGTGAGGCCATCTTAAACGACACGGCCCACGGGAGATGGTTTTTGAGTAACTTTCCGGGTGGCTCGCGGGCTGGGCCGAAGCCCCAGGTGGAGTTCGTTCGAAAAGAATCACATGTTTGCCAGGCGTTTGGCACGCCGTGCACCCCTGGTGCACCCTTGTGGCAAGCCACGGGGCGGCGGATCTGATGGCTTTCGGTCCATCCCGCCACTGTGCCTGGATTGTGGGTCAGAGTTTTTAGGGATGCTTCTCGGGGTCTCTTCGGAGCGTTCTCGGGGGCCTCTTGGGAGCCTTTTGAAGGCCTCTTGGGACTTCCCAGGGGCCTCTTGGGACCTCTTGGGAGCCTCCTGGGGGCCTCTTAGGGCATCCTGGGGGCCTCTCGGGGCCGAGGGCTCGAAGTGTCCGTGCGGGTCCCCCGTCTTGGAGCAGTCTTGGGGGCCTCTTGGGTCGTCCTGGAGGCCTCTGGAGCCGTCTTGGGGCCCTCTTGGGCTGTTTGTGGGCCCTCTTGGAGTCCTCTTGGGCCGTCTTGGGGCCATCTCGGGGGCCTCTTCGGCCGTATTGGAGCGTCGGGAGGCTGAAAATATGAGAACGCCAAAGTAACTCGAAAACCTAAGGCACATTAGTTGATTGTGGCTCTTGGGGCCCTCTGTGGAGGCCTCTCGGAGGTCTCTTGCGCCGTCCCGAAGGCTTTCTGGGCCGTCTTGGAGCCATCTTGAGCGTCTCGGAGCGATCGTTCGGCGACCCGGAGTCCTCTTGGAGCGTCCTGAAGGCCTCCTGGTACCCTGATGGCCCGTCTTGGGCCTCTCTTGGCCCCGAGAGAATCATCCGAGAGCACGCCCTGGAGCCCAAGGGGGCACGCCCGGGGGCCCTGGAAGATCTGGCAATTTCGGGGCCGGGCTCCTCAAAATAATCATCAGGATCGAGGGCTGAGGCTCCAGGGGATAGGACATGGGGGCTTGAGAGTATTCCAATTCGTGCCTCGGAGCACGGTGGCGGATCACCGCGAATTAGCGTGACCGTTGCGCCCTGACAGTCCAATGGTGCGGGGACACGACTTCTGGGACGTCAGCCATGAGGGTTCCGATGAATTGCTGTAAGATGGAAGTGCGTGGCGCGGCGCCAAGGCGAGAAGTACATCTTATCCGTGAAGCTGCATCGGCGAAACTGTTGCCAATGCGCGCGTCGCTCAGGCGAGCGCCACTGCACATTTTGAAAACGACCCGCCCTCGATCCGTGAAGCTCTTGGCAAGCTTTTAAGACGAGTGCGCGCGGCCCTCAGGCGAGAGCCACAGTTTGTGTACGATGGTGCAGGCTTGGCCGGTGGCAACACCAACATAGCTCTACCTCTCACCTCACTGTGCGCTGCCCTTGAGGCGCAAGGGTCTCCGGGGGGCATCCCGACTCATAGTGCGGGCGCTGTCCCCCAGGGGGTGGGCAAATGTGGATAGGTTCACTGGTAGGATCATCCTTCTTTCACATTTTGAGAACAACCCGTGAAGACCTTGCATCTTGTTCAGGTGGAACGCGCGCGGCGCTGAGGCGAAAGCCACGCTTTGAAGGCGCCCTCTATCCGTGAAGCTCCTGCAGACTTTCGGAGCGCCCTCCTCCCCCTCCTCCTTCTTCATCCCTCCTCCTCCTCTTCTTTTTCCCCTCCTCCTCCTCTTTCTCCCTCTCCTCCTCCTCCTCCTCCTCCTCCTCCTCCTCCTCCTCCTCCTTCCATCCGTGAAGCTCTTGCGGACTTGCTTTTAAAACGATTGTGCGCGGCGCCGGAGCGAGAACCGCGTGCTGAAAATTACACGCCCTCCTTCCGCGAAGTTATTTGTACATAAACTTCGAGACGAGTGTGCGCGGCGCTGAAGCGAGAGCCACATTTTGAAAACGACCCGCCCTCCGTTCGCGAAGCTCTTGCACACTTGCAGAACGAATGCGCGCGGTGCTGCAGCGAAAACCACATGTTGAGAAGGACTTGCTCGCCATCTGTGCTTGGCAAACTTCCAAGACGGATGTGCGCAACGCTGAAGCGAAAACGGCATCTCGAGAAGAAACCGCCCTCCATCCGTGAAGCTTTTGCAAATGTTCGAAACGAATGTGCGCTGCGCTGAGGCGAGAACCACGTTTTGAGAACCGACCGCCCTCCATCCGTGAAACACTTGCAAAATGTTGACGACGGTGCGCGGTGCCACGGTGAGAGCCACATTTTGTGAACGACCCGCCTTCCATACGTGAAGCTCTTTGCAAATATTAAAGACGAGTGCGCGCGGCGCTAAGGCCATAGTCAAATTTGAAAACGGTCATCCGTGAATGTTTGAGAACGTTTGGGCGAATGCGTGCGGCGCGGAGGCGGGAGCCACGTCGCGAAAACGCCCTTGAAGCTTTTGCAGATTGGTGGAGGCGAGTGTGCGCAGCGCTGAGGCGAGCGCCACATTTTGAGAGCCACCTGCCCTCCATCCGAAAAACTCCTGCAAACTCTCAAAACGAATGTGCGCGGCGCTGGGGCGAGAACCACATTTTGAAACGGACCCTCCCTCCATCCGTGAAGCTGTTTGCAAAATTTGCAAACGAATGTGAGCGGCGCCAACGTGGGAACCACATTTTGAAAACGGTCCGCCCTCCATCCGTGAAGTTCTTGCGAACTTTTGAAACGAATGCGCGCGACGCTGATGTGACAACCACGTTGTGAAAAGAAGCCGCCATCCATCCGTGAAGTTCCCGCAAACGTTCAGAACAAATGTGCGCGGGGATGAGGCGAGTGCCACATTTTGAGAACCAGCCTCTCTCCATCCGTGAAGCAAGGTTGACGATGGTGCGCGGCGCTAGGGTGAGAGCCCACACGTTG